CAATTTGAAATGATTCGAGCTTTGTGACATGGTGCATTATCCTGCTGGAATAGCCATCAGAGGATGGGGACATGGTGGCCATAAAGAGATGGACATGGTCAGAAACAATGCTCAGGTAGGCCGTGGCCTTTAAACGATGCCCGATTGGCACTAAGGGTCCTAAAGTGTGCCAAGAAATCATCCCGCACACCATTACACCACCACCGCCAGCCTGCACAGTGGTAACAAGGCATGATGGATCCATGTTCAAAATCTGACTCTACCATCAGAATGTCTCAACAGAAATCGAGACTCATCAGACCAGGCGACATTTTTCCAGTCTTCAACTGTCCAATTTTGGTGAGCTCTTGCAAATTGTCGCCTCTTTTTCCTATTTGTAGTGGAGATGAGTGGTACCCGGTGGGGTCTTCTGCTGTTGTAGCCCATCCGCCTTAAGTTTGTGGCTTCACAAATGCTTTGCTGAATACCTCGGTTGTAACGAGTGGTTATTTCAGTCAAAGTTGCTCTTCTATCAGCTTGAATCAGTCGGCCCATTCTCCTCTGACCTCTAGCATCAACAAGGCATTTTCGCCCACAGGACTGCCGCATACTGGATGTTTTTACCTTTTCACACCATTCTTTGTAAACCCTAGAAATGGTTGTGCGTGAAAATCCCGGTAACTGAGCAGATTGCGTAGCACTCAGACACCAACAACCATGCCACGCTCAAAATTGCTTAAATTCCCTTTCTTTCCCATTCTGACATTCAGTTTGGAGTTCAGGAGATTGTCTTGAGTAGGACCACACCCCTACATGCACTGAAGCAACTGCCATGTGATTGGTTGATTAGAGAATTGCATTAATGAGAAATTGAACAGGTGTTCCTAATCCTCTATAATGGAATTAATACGCATAATTAGGCAAAATTAAGATATTTCCTGTTTGGTTGCAAACATAATAAAATTCCTGTTATGTGACAGGGTAGAATTTCTCTTCATATTCCAGTCTAGCATCCTGTGGAATGTGAACTTCCTGTTTTGTTTTGTTTTAACAACAGGAAGCATGATTCTTTTTTCCTCTCTTTTACACAAATCAAAAACAGTGTATGCTGGTCTTTAAACTCCAAGTGTGTTTAAAAAAGCTCTTTTTTAATTGTGGAAATATTGAGATGACAGCATCCTTTGATGATTATTAAAGCTGTTAAAACAACTGACATTTATTGGATGATAAAAAAGCACTTTACTACAGTTAACTCCAATATAAAAAAATATCGGACTCAGGGATTTATGGATCTTCAACTGCACATGCTTGTTTGCTGTCTCGTTCAACACCTCAATGTTTTCATGTGTTCAAAATTCACCTGATTAATACGTTATGAGTCTTTTTTCGAACAATTCATCGGTGCCGATCATTCCAAAGAAAATAAGGATTTATCTTCAACTTATCATATTACGAATCCCTCATTTTTTTCAACTCCTCTGCTCAATTCTGATGACGCACACTTTTCCCAGTCAATTCCAGATGGATACAGAAATCAGATTTGTGTATTTTGGAAATATAGCTACGGCGTTACCATTAATCGATGTTCTGCGACTAAAACTCAATTTTTTCCTCTTGTGATAATTCGTTCCAAACATCATGGCAATGGGTTGATAGTTTTACGTAGGCCTCTCGGCCATTAGTTTTAATTAAAGGAGACGTAGGCGTGTTGTCCAAGCTTCAATGCCATGGAAAGCCCCTTATACTTGAGAAGTGTTTCTCCCTCATATCTGCTTCAAGATCTGTGGATAAACGGTGGCATTTCTTTGTTGTTTAGAATCCAGTATTCCCGTAATACTTACGGGAGTTTAATTAAGAACACTGTCCAATTGTACCATGTCATCTTTAAAAAATAATCGACTTTTACATGCCGGGTGACTTGTAAATGCAAAAAATTGCAGTTTTGAGAGATATTTCTTTTTCGAATAGCCTGAAAAACCACTTATCTGCAATATATGGGAGTTTTTTTTTTACAAAATGTACATGTTGCCATTTGGCTTCAGTTCGCAATTTCAATTAGCTCAATAATTTGAAAGGCAATAGAAATTCGGCTAATGAAGTTCTAATGTTTTTCGAATATCCCATTTCAGTTGCAAATACAGTAAAATGGTAAACCAGTCCTTCCAGAAAAACGCGGAGTTTTTTTGTGATTGTTGCGGGCAAAAATCCTTGATTACGCGGCCCGTTTTCTTTAAAAATGCGATGGAATATGCGGGATATTTATGCAATTTTATGCGATGAAATTGCGGGAACTTGCAAAAATTGCGGGAACTTGCAAAAACTGCGGTTTGATGAAAAAGAGAAAAAAAGTGATTCCCCCAACACCCTGTTCTCACTAGGCTACTACCTTAATGTAAAGAGTCATTTCTTATTACTTTCTATGATGTAGCAAGCATACTACATAATAGAAAATGCTGGGAATATTTAATTTCTCATCTTGTTTTATTTTTATTACATTTTCAAAATCACAGAGTTTGATAACAAGTTCTTGACATTTCTTTTACACATTTTCTGATAAGTAAATTTTTAAATTAAAGTTTAATTTAAAAATATTATAATATTTTAATTTTTAAAATAAAGTTTAAATTTTCTGAATTATAACATCTAGGAAGTAGCCTAAAACATGAAACAATAATTTTGAAAAAAAAAAAAAAAAAAAAAAAAAACAAGAAAAATATAAAGAAAAAAAAATAAAGGTAGAGGGCATCACAGACATATTAAATTCCTTTAGCAGAGATACAGATGTTTTGGGCTTTTCGATTTTTTTTTTTTTAATTTTAAAGACTCAAAATACATTTTAAAGGCTGTTTTGAAATGAGCAAAGTTGGGTTTTGAGTTACTCCACTTAGTTTGATGAATATGAAATTTTCCTAATAATAGAAAAAAATCGATAACATACATTTTTCTTATAGGAAAGTCAAAATCATTTGTATGAAGATGACAAATTTAAGAAGGTTGCAATTCATTTTAAAACCTAGAAATTGAGACATCTCATTCCAAAAGATTGAAGAATAGGGACATTCAAAGAATAAGTGCACAATAGACTCTCTTTCACAATTACAAAATCAGCAATGTTTTATTTCAGACTGTAACGAGTGTAAATAAGGTGTGGCCCCTTTAAGAGCTGCGCGCTGAACTGTCTGCAGTGTGTGCGCCTCAAACACCCCATGTGTGCGGGTAATTTCTGTTTGATCCATTCTTTTATCTTATTTTGTTTATTAAGTAACGATGTGAGGTAGAACGTGTGACACAGTTATACGAGTTCGATTTGTGAGATGTCAATCGCCTCCGTGAGTCTTTCTGGACTCTGCAATAACTTCAGCTGTGAGCTATCCCGTCGCGTAATTGCGTCACTTCATAACGTTCCCATGGAAACAGGAGGAAATGGCTGCTCTTGTATGAAGCAAACGCAACATTTTTCAACTTTCTGCGAAGATATATGTGACTTTTTTTGCAACGAAAATGCGAGGATTATGAAATCATGCAAGCCCCGCATATTTTGCATGGAAATCGGCATTTTATGCGGCGAAAGTGCGGCTTATTTGAAAAAATGCGGCCCCCGCATAAATATGCGGACTTTGGCTGATTTTGCATTGAATTCAGCGATCGCATAATCGCGTTTTTCTGGAGGGACTGGTAAACAGCATTTCACATTGCCGTATGACGTGTGTAATTTCTGCGTCAAACACAAAACTTGTTGGAAAACAGTGATTACGTTAGAAACTCTGTTTCCGACACAGAAATTACACACTTCACCTTTAAGGTTTCAAGGCACTTTGCAAGATGTCCTGCCCGGACATGCCAATTGAAAATCCCTTTGAGTCTCTCTCTCTTTCTACTTTTCTCTCCTCTTTTTCTTGACTGCTACACCCATCCACTGTAATGTAATTCATGTCTTCCCTATACTTAAGGCTAACCACAAGCCTTCCATACCATGCACTGTAGAGAAGACTGGCTTTGCCACCATAGACTTCAGCTTTCATGTGCAAACACTATGCTGAGGTCCAAGAAATATGCAGTGTTTTTCAGGCAATCGCAGCAATGAATGCTAGACACTTTTGTCTTTAAAAACATTCGAATAACTAGCTGTTGTACTTAAGATGCCAGAATATCCAGGTGTTGTGCCGAACAGGTAGACCCGCATTAGGAGAGTTCTGCACATGCGATGCGATCTGCCCTCATTCGCCCTTTACCGATTGAGCACGCAGATTAATTTGTGTTTGAGTGCCAGTATAAAGCGCACAAGCTTATGCATGTGTGTTCGTGTGTATGTGCAGGCATGCACTATTGAAGAAACACCTCCCCAGCTGTGAAAACAAATGCCACATCTGGCTGAAGGTGATTAAGGACATTGGCAAAAACATGCATGGTAACACTTCACTTTGCTAACATTAGTTAATGCGATGAATTTAAAGGGGTAGTTCACTTTAAAATTAATTTTTGATGTGTTGTAGCTTACCTCAAGGGGATCCAAGATGTAGGTATCTTTGTTTTAATTTTAGTATTTTCAATTTTTATTTTTTTTAGGTCAAACCGTTACCGTCATATAATGGAGGTCTATGGTCACCACCTCAAAGAGCATGCACAGGGAAGTCCAAATTAAACATGATTTAATGACTCGTAAATGTAAGTACACGTTGATGGCCTAAGACACGAAACGAGCGATTTGTGTGAGAAAACGAACAGTATTTATATCGTTTTACCTCTTGTAACCACAGCCACGTCCAAGTACTCTGAGGGCGCGGGCGATTTGTGGCTGTGGTTACAAGAGGTAAAAACGATATAAATACTGTTCGTTTTCTCACACAAACCGCTCGTTTCGTGTCTTAGGCCATCAACGTGTACATTTACGAGTCATTAAATCATGTTTAATTTGGACTTCTCTGTGCATGCTCTTTGAGGTGGTGACCATAGACCTCCATTATATGACTGATAGACACGAACGGTTTGATCTAAAACTATATCAAAATTGAAACTACTGCGGAAACAAAGACACCTACATCTTGGATGCACTTGAGGTAAGCTAAAACATACCAAAAATTAATTTCAAAGTGAACTATCCTTTTAAGAAAATAAAAATAAACAATAGTTTATATAAGTTATGATATCCAATGCATTTATGCATTTTTTTTTGCCTCGTCATTCTCTTGCCGTTTCTGTTGTTCTTTTTACTTTCACTTCTTTGCAATTGTGTTTGTTTACAGTGCGTTCATTTGATGTTGTCTGTCTCTATAGTTCAATACCACATTTATTTATTTTCCTTTATTAGCAATTAGTAATACTTGCTAAAGGGTTAGTTGCATAATTTACGGTTATTACTATGGTTAGTACATGTAACAAGGACACTGTAAAATAAAGTGTTAGCGAACTGCAACACTTATATCATGTTTAAGCGCCTACATGTTTAAGTATGTGTTGCGTAACTGCAATGCGTCAATGCCGTATAGATGCTCTGACATCAGCATGGATTTCAGTCCATGTGAATGACAAGCATCTTCTAAATGGTGCGTACATCTCAAATAGAGACAAAATACCATGCCGTCAATAAATTCGACAAACCAAAGGAAGATTTATTTTTAATCTTGTGTAACCAGTCTGACCTGCAGTAGTGCATAGCTTTGAGCCTGCAAAAATTATACAGACACGCTCAGAGTTCACTTCAGTTCAGTAAAGAACTGGTTTGGCATATTTTGACATGCATGGTGATATCAACACTAAGTAATTCCTCTCAGATCAGTATTGCTTATTTGAGATCTCAAATATACTAAACGTCCTTTTAAGTAATTCGATGGTTTGTTTTTCAATCGTTGTCTTGTTGACGGCTCAGGATTAAGCTCGAGTTGATTTTAAGTGACATTTGCACCACAAAATAATGATATAATTTTGTCTTGAACTATATACGCTGAGTGGAAAGGTTGCCAGGTCACCAGTCATGCGTATGATACGTGTTTGTGGGTGGCAGCTCCCTGGTGGTCTTCCCCAAATATGTAGCCTGAAACACTTATTAGTTCGTCTTCAGAAAGGCCGTGTGTATCCCTCATGCAGACAAGGGTTATCTCACATATGGTGTGTGTATGATAAGCCAAACTTATTCTCTGGCCAATGTCAAAAGTCTTCCCAATATCTCTAATAGTATGGTACCATGTATTGTGTCTCCTTTAAATGTAAATAAATGGGGATTTTTTTGTCTTGAAATGCATGCTTAATAAATCTAAAACTGTCTATTAAAGCTTTTTTTAATTTTACTTTGACCTTTTGTCACTATAAAGGACCTTTTGTGCAATGGAAAGGTTTTGCGTTAATTTTAAGATAGGTCTAAGTATAGCATTTCCAAAATGATGCCGAATCGATTGCAGAAAAGCCATGAAACAAGCGTAACTATTATAATTGCAATGCTGGGACAGTTATCCTGAGCTTTATGATTTCGTAGTTTTTTTCATCAACATGCTCTTGCCCGGGTGCTAGAAGAAGCTTTGAGTCTAGAAAGGTCCAGTATTGCTGTTAAGTCTTAATGATCCCGTTTTATGACACGCTGAGATCGTCACGGGGGTGTTTGGCCGCTGTCAGGGTGCGTTGTCTTTAGCCTTTCTGCAGGCTCCGTAGAGTCTGGACCATAATGACACCTGTCCTGTTGTGTTAACAAGAGATTGTCAACCAAAGTAAGACTGTGTTGCCCAAATCATCTTTTTTTCGGATAATTTCGAGATTGGTATATATAGGCATTTGTAATTGTGAGGTTGATTGTGCATCATTTGCATCAAAAACCCATATTTGACCTGCCAAATTCAAAAAATATATATATATAAATATATATGTGTATGTGTGTGTATATACATCATTAAAGAAGAAAATTTCAAATGGCATTTAGAGGCTTTTGCATCTGAACTCTTCATATATATATATATATATATATATATTATTAATATATATATATATATATATATATATATATATTAGGGCTGTCAAACGATTAATTGTGATTAATTGCATCCAAAATAAAAGTTTGTGTTTACATAATATGTGGGTGCACTGTGTATAATTATTTTATATATATAAATACACACACATGCTTGTATATTTAAAAAAAAATTATTTATATATAAAATATTTATATTTACAGCCCTAAATATGACAGCCCTATATATATATGCTGTTCCAAACTCCATGGTTTACCCAATGGTTTACCCAAAAATATGAAAATTATGTCATTATATACATGCTCACGTTGTTCCAAACCTGTATTACTTTCTTTCTTTTGCTACTGGATTTATTTTCATTCTATGGAAGACAATGGTGTCCATCAACCGTTTCTTTACTGACATTCTTCACCTTCTTTTGTGTTCAGCAGAAGAAAGAAACTCATACAGGTTTGGAACAACGTGAGCGTGAGTATATGATCACATAATTTTCATTTTTGGGTAAGCTGTCCCTTTAAGAGAGTAAGTCTTGTTGAATATTAAGAGCAGTGATTTTCAAATTCATAAATAGTTTTAGAGAAAAGGCTTGGCAAATCGATTTTAGAAGTTTTGGGGGGGAAATGTTTTGTTCAAAGTATTTAGCAGTATTTAGTGAAATATTAATGTTGATATTTCAACATTAATATTTCACACACAAACACACGTTTCGGTTGTGTTTCTCATACGCGTGTGCGCAGAGCCTGTAAGCCTGGTTTAGATTTATGGTGAAATCTGAATTGAAGTGAAATAGTTTTTCTTATAATTTACAGTAATACTGGGTAAAAAAAAGATGTTAGTAAATATTGTCCAGCAGACATATATATAAATAGTCAATTACTTGTTAGTCAAATTGTAATGTTTATAATACCACACTTGCTGTTTGTATTTCTCCATGCCCAAGTAAAAAAAAACTACCAAAATGTATTTAAAATACATTTTTTATACTTATTTTTGTACAATAGTACAATTCATGAACATATTTACTGATATATCGCTTATATAATAATCAAATAATCAAGTTCAACATATAATTATCAACATATAATAATCAAACTGTAATTAGAGTAGGCCTACTTCTTCATTGCACAATGCACATTTCTTAATATTAAGCCTAAAATGTGGGTCCCACTTTATATTAAGTGGCTTTAAGTACTATACTTGCATTGAAATTAATAATTTGATACAATGGACTTATTGTGTACATGTTTTTACATTGTACTTATATTTAAAAAAAAAATACCAGCATGTAATTACAGCCGTAATTAATTTATGTTATTACATCTGTAATTACACAGCTGACCCATCCCTTAAACCTATCCATACCACCACACCTGTCCCTAACCTTACCTGTATCACACCTCTATAGCACCAAAAGTGTTTTACAATACAACATGAGCACAATAAGTACATAGTACTTAAAGCCACTTAATATAAAGTGGGACGAAAATGGGTTTTAATATCATTATTATTAACCACAGTATGTTCACTGTATAATATCAGTCTATAAAAGCAAGATATTTAAAGTGTTCCTAAAGTAGACTTGCAATAGTTCAATTTTAGCACAATCAAATACACTTATGTAGGCTATATAGTATATATGTGTGTGTGTGTGTGTGTGCACTGTAAAAATTAATACGCTTTATCAAATCAATAAAATTGTGGCAACAGATTCATTAAATTGAACAAATTAGAATTTTATATTTAAAATATTAAATATAAATATTAAATATAAATATTTAATATTATATTATTAAATATAAATATTTAAATATTCTATAGAATTGAGTAATAATTAATCAAATTATTCCTTAAAAGTTAACCATTTAAAATGAGTAAAATTTACACCAAAAAAAAACAACAAAAATATCTGAATAACAGACAGACTTCAAAGATTAATTGAGAACTCTTTATTTTATATTGTTAACAAGCAGAATCACTGAAGGAGAAACCCGTCATTTTAAAACAAACACAGATTACCATAACGATGACTTATATTTACTTTTTTTGGTTGTTGTTTTAAGTTTTACTCATTTTAAATGGTTAACTTTATACTAAGGAATAATTTGATTAATTATTACTCAATTCTAATTTGTTCAATTTAATTAATAATATTGCTTGTAATCTGTTGCCACAATTGTTTTGATTAGATAAAGCGTATTCATTTTTACAGTGTGTGTGTGTGTTTTACAAGGGTGTAAGTATAAATTAATGTATTAAAAATATTAAACCTCAAATATGGCTATATGCCTTTGCACGGGTTCCCTTCTTAAAATATAAATAAGGCTACACTTTTTATTTAAAAAAGTTTGAAAACCCCTGATTTATTTGTTATTTATGTTTGTTATTGTCATATTGCTAATTGTATTAGAACTATACAGTCAAACACAGTCTAAAAATTAATATTCTAGTGTGTGTGCGTGTGCTACTATTATTATATGCATTGTCTTGTCTTTTATATTGTTTTTTTTTGGGGGGGGATATTTGGATGCTGCTGTTTTAATCAGTATTGGTCATTCCTGATAAAATAATCAAATGTGTGTGTGTCACCAGAGACCAGATGAAGGAGCAGACTGTCTCCGCTGAGTGTGTGGCCTGCAGGACAGGTGTTGCTCACTGACTGACCTCTTCATCTCCACTGTAGGAAAGTAGCCTACATGCCATAAAAATACCCGAGATAACATTTCACTATCTCTCTCTCTTATGCATGAACTTTGACCTGTTCTTTTCTCATCCGCAAATAAAACAAGCTCTCTAACTCTCATCGATTTAACAGCACTTCATGGATTTGTAACTGCTTAGGAAAGTCATAAAAGCAATTTGAGGAATAGGGGTGGGACTCGGAAGGCAGGGCGTGGATACACACCATAAACGGGTGGGAGATGAGTGGGTAACCCTGGTCACCCGAAGCTGCATCCGAAGCCATCACTCCAGCAAAAAGAGCATGACAGTTATGATTCGTTATCTTACTTTAACACGCGAACGCGCAAAATTAGTGACTTCGAGGCGTGAGTAAATCTCACTAAATGTCAAGTCTTGCAACCAAAAGTCACTCTTTTGCATTTAATACGGCATGATTCCTCCGTTTACCGTGTTATGTCTTGCGAAGCAAAGACACTCATGGGATGTTGGACGACGAGTTTCGACTTCGGACACCTGAAAGCGCATTCCAAGGTGTCCGTGTTCTTTACCATGATCCTTATATTCACCTATTTATTCTACTGTCTCACTGGATACTGCGATTCCATGCCGAGTCCACTGTACGTGCATCAGAGTTTCAGAAGCAAACTTTTCCCGAAGGAAGGGAAGAAACTCCAGCCGGACGCGCGCGGGAACGGCTCCGTCGTGCGCGAACTCCTCGACCAGGACGGGGAAGATGAGAAGCGGCAGCGAGCTTTAGGCTATGACACTTACAGCAATCTTTCTGTGTCAAACAACTTCGGGACTAAAGAGTTTCCTCAGGCGATTATCATCGGCGTGAAGAAGGGGGGAACGCGCGCGCTTCTGGAGTTCCTGCGCGTGCATCCTGACGTGCGAGCGGTGGGCGCAGAGCCGCACTTCTTTGACAGGTTTTATGAGAGGGGTCTTCAGTGGTACAGGTAGGTCGTCTGTCAATAGTGAGACTGTATCCAACTATATAGGGATTCTAAAATAAAATAAAATAAAACTCTAAACGTGTCAACTGCATTATGCAGCCATCCGTGAAAGATATCACGCGCTTGTTGCATGCAAGGACACTTGAGGCACACGTGAAAAAGTATGAATACAATTGGCTGTAGGCTAAACCAGAGTAGTTACATTTTTCTTAAATAAATATAGTTTGCAGATAGGCTACCTGTGTCTAATCAAGTGTTTTGAAGCACTTTAAGCATTCTCATCCTTTAGCGTCATATAAAACGCTATATGACAAAACGGCGCTATACTACGCATATGGCACCCGTTATCGTTAATATAACACGCGCTGACTTTACATTGAAGCACCAACAGTACCATTAACTGCCAAATATGGTTTGTTTATTTACGTATGCATGAAAAAACTCTCCTAGTGACTGCATAGCAACGTGCTAAATCAATAACCATGGCAACCACCCGTTCTAGTACCACTCCAGACGCAAGAAAGAGACGCATATTGAAACCAAAAGTGGCAGTTCTACTTTATAAACCGATCACAAATGTTAATCTTATCTGTCTGTAAATCACTCCCTATGATTTCGATTCTTGGAGACTGCAATTTTCTTTATCCAAGTTACCCACTTAAAATGTTAAGAGTGGTAATTAAGGGAGCCACCAGATGTTATATCTCACAGAAGCCCAATTTTACAACAGACATTGTAATTTATGCCTATCTGAGGCACATAAAGCCTCCTCCTCGTAAAGTCTTCCAGCAGAGATCATTGGTTTAATGAACTCCTCAAAAGAGTTTTCTTTCAAAACTGCATGTTTAAACCAAATATACGTCTGTCTGAATGATCAGTAATTGATTCTTCCCCTCTGGGTTCATTAATATCACCTGTCAATAACCGGCGCAGTGTAGAGTCATGTCTCATCGGCAGGACGTTCAGCCCTCTGTCAATAAAATGTCTGTCTCTCATCTGATGATATCTTAAACATGTCTATTAAGAAATACTTTGGCCCAAAACTAAATTCTGTCATATTTACTCACTTTCCAAACTCGTATGCTGTTGTTATTGTTTTTCTTCATAGAACCTGAATGTGTTTGCAATGTCATGAGGGTGAGTATAGGTTTTATTATGGAGATAATAATCATGGACGGTTTATGCATTTCCTCTCTGCTGTGCGAAGCGACTTTGAGGCTTAGTTTGATGATTTCTCTCTCTTTCACACACATTTGTTCCAGCATGTGGTGACAGCCTTATGCAAACAAAGTACTCATGTACGGGGTTTTTGTAACGTATAATTCAATATCAGCCTTGTCAACACCACTGGTGTTCTGTGTGTGTGCGGATGTGTAATGACAGCTGAGCTATTGTGCATGCCAGCTGGAAGCCCTATGGAAAAGTGTGTGTGTGATAGAGAGAGAGTGCAGGTGCTCACTTTACCCAATAAAAGGTCATGACTTGCCCATCTGAAATATTGTACAAAATGATTACTACATTTGATATTATAGGTGTTTAGTCAAACATTTTATTTTCATTTTTAATTGGATCATTTTATTTTAATTTACATTGTACGTTTGCCATTATATTTTTAAAACAATAATATCTTAGAAAATACCTTATATTGACAAACTATATATCATTTGAAAGCTTACAATCTCTAGTTTCCATATTTGGTGACTGCTTTTCAAAATAAATTAGACATAAGCCAAAATTTATCAATTTGTTCAATTTTCATAATAATTTTCATACTCATAAAGCGTGTTCAGACCTTTATTTTGAAATAGTGATGAACATGAAAAATCATGAAAAAAAAAAGGTAGAAACCTTGGTTTGTTTTCATGCCAAGAGTTCAGATTGCATCCGTTCAATTATTAAAAAAAAAAAAAGGTCTGGAAATGTTTTAAATATTATGAAAAAATAATAAATTCACCATTTGTGATGTGGCAATAAGCTATAACGCACATGCGTTTTTTTTTTTTTCTTAGAGGTTGAATTCAAATCAAAATCTGCCAAACTTCTCATATTACTTCTGAATAGGATCTCTTCTTCATAAATGGCATGAAAATTGTGAAATTAATGGTTCATATCACTCAAAACGCATATAGAAATGGAGGCGCTGGTTGTTCCCTAGTGGAAGCGTTCAGTACTGCGCCCTTAACAAAATCTCACAGAAAGCTCATTTTGTTTAGATATCAACCTAATTTTAAACAAAACTTGTTCAGATTTTTAGCTTTGGGTTTTCTGCAGTTTTAGAGTAGCCCAGGTTTTGAAAATATATATTTTATATAAAATATGAATGATTTTTTTTTTTACATTGTACATTTCCATAAACTCAAACTTCTATAACTTTTTTTTCTGTTTCACTTTCTTAATTTATTTCACTTCGACAAAAATCTGCCAAATGTCTTCTTTAAAATGAGACAAATCTTACGTCTATTCCAAAGCATTCTTGAATTACAACCTTTTAAGTACGAAATATGCATTTCCATGTCAATTAAAAAAAGGACGTGTTTACTACAACAGTGTGTTTTTAGAAAATGCTTAAATATTGTATGATAAGTAGTAATTATTAGAAGTAACAAATATGAATTAGTATTATATGCAAATTAAAAATATCTAATTTTACTACAGTATATAATTTATAAAATAATTATTATAACTGCATGATTTAATGAAGAATTGTAATTTAGTTTTATAAACCATAAAAATCTTCTGAAAAGCTGTTTCTATGAAAAATGGTTTGCTATTTTCTTCTCATGAATTGCTAATATGTTCTGATTAACATGTCCATCTATTACATGTTCTTTAATTCTGTGCATTAATCCATAAAACTTGGTCCTCCCCCACCTGACACTGGTAGCACCTTCTTATGACTCCATAAATCACTGTGTGGAATAAAAGTCCCCTCTCGATCAATGATGAATGCAGACGTGCTGGTCATCGATTCTTCCTTAACCAACTGTATTGCACTTAGGCATAGAGACAGTTAATTAACCTGTGCATATTCAATCTGGCTGACAAACTGCTGCTGCCTTTTCAGCTCAAGAGTTTCTTTATGATTCTTGGCCATAAAGGTTTATGCTTTTAAGAGCTTAGGGTTAGGGCACTGTATATTAGTACATTGAATTATGTCGATAGAAAGATTTGGATATTTATGTTTTGCAAATTTGTAAAGATAAATTTCAGAAGAAGTGGTTTTAAACAACAGTCGATATATAGGCGGAATTCCAGAAAAAGCATTAGCAATCCATTTTTCTTCAGTTGAATACTTGTTAATGAATACATTTACATTTTGCATTACACATTCAATTTAGACATTAAAACCATACATTTCATGATGTCAGAGCGCCGGCTTGATTTCCCATGTGACCCGGGTCTCTAACATTAAACTAGCCATTGATTGATCAGGGCTGAGGGTAGTGGTGTGGAAGAAACCATCAGAGCTGCAGAACAGAGATAGATGAGTTATCTATATCCTCAGAGTCGTAATGAAGAAGAACAGTCAGGAAGCAATGATGGAAACCATCATGTCCTAAAACAATTTGTTGCACCAAATGCAGGGTCTCTTGATAATAATCATAGGAGATCTGTTTATATGCGACACTAAACAATCTCAACAGATCTCGGATAGATATAAAAAGAAATTGCATTGGAAGAGAGGGTTTTTTTATTGGCATCGATTGTTCCGGTGAAGAATCCATGGAATCTTTCCATTCCATTATAGTGGGGAACACGTTATTTATTTAGATTAGGACTCTGAAGCGATTAATCACGATTAATCGCATCCAAAATAAAAGTTTGTGTTTACATAATATATGTGTGTGTGTAGTGTGTATAATTATTTTGTATATATAAATACACACACTGGCATGTATATATATTTAAGAAATATTTGCATGTACTTCATATATATTTATACAAAATTAATATTATACATAAACATAAATATTTGATATTATATATATACATGCATATGTGTGTTTATATATATATATATATATATATATATATATATATATATGAAGAGTTCAGATGCAAAAGCCTCTAAATGCCATTTGAAATTTTCTTCTTTAATGATGATTTTTATCAAACTTGTATATTTACGTTCAGTAATTTCACTTAAATAACAATTAATAGGTAATCATCATTGCCATTTAAGTGAAATCATTGAACTTAAATATACAAGCTTGATAAAAATGATCATTCTAGAAGAAAATTTCAAATGGCACTTAGAGGCTTTTGCATCTGAACTCTTCATATATATATATACAAAATAATTATACACACACATATATTATGTAAACACAAACTTATTTTGGAAGCGATTAATCGCGATTAATCATTTCACAACCCTAATTTAGATTATTAAAATGTTCTCCATTCTTCTTTAAGAACCATTGATTAACCATTAGATTATTAAAATGTTCTCCATTCTTCTTTAAGGAACCCCCCCCCCCCTTTATTTTTAAGGGTAATTTCATTAATTTACTAATTTGATAATCACAGGAAAAAGTTCGGTGAGCAATTTCCGCTGCTTTGTAAGTTTCCGCTATTATGCTCATTTCAAAACCCCGCCCTCCAAATGTATTTAAGCCAATCCTGTCAGCAAATTCGAAAATGCAAAATCATGACTGGCAGAGAGGGTTTCTGATTGGCTAGCTTAATCAGTTATAGCGCCTAGTTACTTTTGAAGTTCTGCAATTATTTTGTATATATATATATATTAGGGGTGGCACGGTTCACAAAACCCACGGTTCGGTTTGTATCACGGTTTTAGGGTCACGGTTTTCGGTTCTGTACAGTTCTTGTTATTTTTTCTTTTAATCTTTAACACTCCAGAAATGTACTTCAGCATGTGATATATAGCTTAATTATCCACACTTTAGGATACAGTATTAAAAAAATATATATATTATATTCATGCAATCATGCACAAACTGAATTTGACTCTTTGACTTTAAGCACATTTTGGGACTATC